TTACGAAAAAGAGCTTCATCTCGACATATCATCCCCTTCCTAAGGGATCTTTCTCATGGTCATACAATGATTTCCTACACATTTCCCGGTGTCACAAAGCGCCATATCGTCTCTTGACATCCCTATAGTTCCGCTCCTAAAAAGTACGTTCATCGACTTCTCAAGCTCGTTCACATGGAAAATCATTGCTTATACAACCTACTTGACTTGAATGTGCGGTAATGGCATAATGAGCAGCAGTGCGGCTCGCATCGCCGGTGTGGACATAGCATGTCTATCTCTCTGGTCTAAATCCATGTCGCTAACTAACTACATCACCGATCCTGCCCTCCTTTGCTCCAGTTCAAAACCGTTCACATCGAATCATTGCTGCCTCTGAGGCTCTTGACTTCATTGAAACTGCTCCCACGCCAACGACCGCGTCTAAATCCATGTTCAATGGACCCCAATCTTGCCATTGCCTCCCAAGCGTTAACACGGCCCGTCCCTAGACACCACGCATCCTGCACATGCCCATTCTCCACCACCACCTCAGCTATGGGCACATTGAAACCTTGGAGCACCCTAGTGTAGCGGGACCAGTGAGCAGGATCGCGCAAGGGCATGAGGACATAGTGTGCCCTAATATTCCCAGTATCAAACCTCCCCTTCAGTGTGAAATCACCGCCAAACTTTGCATTCAAACGGACACAAAGGTCGTTGAAGCTAGGAGGTTCATCAAACTATTCCAATTCTTCTTCCATATCCTCAAACACACCATCTTCTCTCCTAACACTTTCTCCGTACAAAACTCTAACACAACAATCCATCTACAAAAACATTTCAAGAAACTTCATCAATTCATCGAAATTGTCGTACGTAATGTCTATAGTAATATTAATACCTATTCTAACTATAATTATACTAACTAATCTAATATTAACATCTATACAAGGCTAAATACAACAACTAATGTATAACTAGACTTACTAACTGTACTAACTAAACTAACTTTACTATCTATACTAACTTACTATATTGCCTATACTAACTAACTTTACTAACTATACTTTACTATTTATACTAACTTTATTTATTTTACTAACTTACTATACTAACAATGTCGATTCAATCAACAAATACACTAGGGGGGTACCGGCATGCGCTGCTTCTCTAAATCATCGGCGCATGTTGGCTAGACCAAAGCCAAGAGGGCGTGGCGCTGGCCTTGGCGGCGGCGGCGGCGTCATGGCCCTACAATGAGGGCGCGTGGTGGTGGCAAAGAGGAGCGGTGGGTGGCGTGGTGGGTGGCGTCCGTGGCGTGGCGGGCAGCAGTCGTTTGTGGTCGGAGGGCGCGGCGGGCAGCCGGAGGGGGTGGCGCGACGGCGGGCGCGCGTAACGGTCGACGGCGGGCGGCAGCGTTAACGTCGTGGCGCGCAAGCGCGCGCGGCGCGTGGGCGCGCGTGCGGCGGCGGCGCGCGCGGCAGCGCTATTGCCGCGGCAGCGGCAAGCGGCGGCGGCGGCGGCCAGCCACGCTGGCGGGCATGTAGGCGGCGGGCGCGGCAGGCAGGCGGGACTAGGCCGCGGCCCTTTTAGCCGGCTCTGCCGCGCCACCGATCAGGGCGCGTCACTGCCGCGCCAAGATCGGTGGCGCGGCAGACCCTGCCACGTCACCGGTCAGCGCCCGTCGTCGCCACGTGACCCCTCTCACCGCGCCACCATGCATGGCGCGGCACAGCGTTTCGCCGCGCTAGGGAAATAGACGCGGCCAAAATTATTAGTTTAAAAAAAAAATTAAAACAGTGTTAGATTTAAAATTAGTTTAAAAAAGTGTTAAAAAAAAAAAAAATGTCGTCCGTCACTATGCCTCGCACGAGCGAATCTCACATGATCCTTTCCTGCATGTTGAACGAAACGAACCATACCAAATGGAGCTAATCGTCAAGCCAAACATGCTGTAATGTTTGGCTGTACATTGCAAATATATAGTACTATCTGCTATACGGACTTGAAATATTCTATAGCACATAAACACTGCATGCATCTGCAGCTGGACCGACGCCGTCACATACTGCACTGCGCATAGTATGCGCTAGCAATCTAGCATGTATACTACTCTATATCATCAAAACCTTTCTTTCCCAAACAATTGTTGTACTGTCAAAATCTCATCGCCTACTAAGCACTAACGATGAAAGAAGTATGTACAAAATGCAAATGAACCAAAGGCAGCAACAAAAAGTCTGCTAGTCGTCCAAACCAGAAGATCAGTGCCTTCCAGCATGCACGCGGAACCATATACCCATATCACACTATCACTACAAGTCTATACACGGAGGTAACTCATCCGTCGTGGTGGCTCCCAGCCTCGAAGGCCCAGGCAAGAACATCGTCCAAGACACGCCCTGCCGCCTCGGCTTCCGGGCCGTCATCCGCTCGAGGAACGCGCGCGGCCGCGGCCGCCGCGGCTTCCTTGGCCTTGGCCTCCTCCGATGCTGCCGCCACCGCCGCGCCGTGGCATCCATTGACGACGACGACCGGTGCAGCCTGCACCGGAACGAGCCCGGGTGCGTCGTCGGCGCGCACAGGCGCATGACCGGCGGCGGTCTTGGAGCACGGAGAAGGAGAGGAGCTCATGGCCGCAGTGAGTAGGATCTGATCCGGTGCGAGGCTGCGCGCCGCGCTTGATCAGGTGGTGATGTCGACCGGCCGGGTATTATATTGCTGTGCCCGCCGCCTCCTGATTCCCAAATTCCCAATTGCCGTAATGCGTGCTGCTCGTGTGTGTGCGCTCGCGCAGAGGCGGCTTCCGTCCTGTGGCTTTTGAATGCCAACTGACTCCTTGTTTCGTGGCTCAAAAGGATAAAACTGCAAACGGAGATCCTACAAAAAAGGAGGTGTGTGTTTATCCAAAAGAAAGGGTGTTAAAATAAGCAACCACAAAGATATATATCAAGAGCTCAGTGCAAGGACAAAAATGTTAAAAGAGGCTTTTCTTGTATATTAGTATAAAGCAAGCATTACATACATGTCATACTACACTTGTGAGAAGAGTGAGTATAATCCATTCTTTACCAGAGAGTAGAGAGTATTTAGGGACTATTTGGATCATCTCCTCTAAACTTTAGAGCTTTAAAAACTTTAGAGCACTTTAGCTTAGTTTTGAGCTCTAAAACTCTAATGTGAGGTGGACTAAAGTTTAGAGCAAACTTTAGACCACCTGTTTGGAGACTTTAGCTCTAAAGTTTAGATGGTGGATCCAAATAGGCTCTTAATCGCATAGCATCCCAGACTCTTAGTAGACATATACAGATCATGGTGTTTGTTTGAAAGAAAGCTGACAAGTAGCTACCTGCAGGTCATGTAAATACAATGGAATAAAATAAAAAAGAAGGATATGTCTATATATCCACTCGAGTGATGCATCACTCGATTTTTTTCTCCTCCCGATGGATCCGTTCATCTTCCTTCTTGCCCCCGCCGCCGCCTATGGCCCCACTGTGAACGCGCTATGGTTTCGTCGGCGAAACCCTAGCGCGGCTGCGTGGCCTCCTTCTCCCTCCCCCTCCTTCCGTGGCGAGCTACGGCAATGGGTGCCCCCACCCCAACCTGGCCCGGCCGCCTCCACCGCCGCCAGGTCCCGAACACCGCCCTCTCGCCGTCCCCACCGCTTGGCTGGCTTGCCTCCCATGAGCTCCTTCTAAGGCCCACCGGACTTGGAGAAGAAGAGGGGAAGAGGCGGATTTGCAGAAGAGAAAATTCGAGTGATGGATTGCTCCAAATCACTCGAGTGAGCTATAGCTTTATCGAAAAAGAAAGCATAACAACATCATAAAACAATAGTGTCAATGGTGATGACCAACATAATAGTCGTCACCTTAACCATCCATAAAACACATGCGAACATTTGTCACATAGACATGACAACTACCACACGACCATAACAGAACCGTTGTCGCACCTGCAGCCCACAGGCCACCTCTTGCTCGGCTACCACCGAAATTAAAGCCATCAGCCCACAGGCCACCTCTAGCTCCAGCTCGGCTACCACCGAAGCCCATGAGTGAGTCAACACATGTTTATGGCTGCAGTAGTCACCCCTTTCATGCTTCCACCACCATGACCGTCATTATCAAGCTATCATAGCCTATTGTCATCCTTACCACTTTGTTATCTTGCCATACATCTAAAGGTATTTTTTTTAACATTTGAGGTAGGAGAGTTTTCTATTATATTGAAAGGAAATTCCTTTAAAAAAAATTACGCTATATACAGCCTCTGGTCAAGTTCATTTATGTTTCAGATAAGAGAGGTAACCTGTTTTCTCATTGTTTTTGTTGTCTGAATATCGAGTCTACTTGACTGGAAGTATCATGTATGTTAGTAGTATAGTAGTTCATAGTATAGTGTATTTACACTAGTACACAAATGGGTTATAGTCCTGGTTGGGAAAGGGGACGACCGGGAATTCGGGAGGGTATCGTCTAGTCCCGGTTGTCTCAATCGTGACTAAAAGATCTGTGCGAGGCTAAAAAACCTCACGTATTGCCTTGTGCATAGCTAACCACCCCACATATTGTGACTTTAGAGGAGATGCTTTCTTTTTTAACTAACCCCTAAAGGTCATTTAGTCCGAGTTAGTGTTGGATCTACATAAGTCCGGATTAGTGTTACCAACATAGACTAATGCCTCAAAATTCTTTAGTCCGGGTTGGTAACATGAACTGGGACTAATATAGACCCTTTAGCCATTTAGATCCTCCAAATGGCATGAAACTTGGATCTGGACTAATGCTTATATTAGTCCCGGACCCAATTTTAATCGGGACTAATGTGCTGAACCAAAAGTTTTGTACTTAATGTTAACCGCCATATTTTTCGAAATTTAGCACATGCAAACACCAATGTTGGCTACTTAATTAAATACCACTACAGTAGAATGTACAGGTATAATACACCCCAATGTCGGACGGTGCACGGCCTAATTAAGCTAGCAGCTGATACTGTAATTCAGCCTAAATTCACATGTACGGCCTCGCCGGGCTCTTGAGGAACGCCCTCTCCTCCACAGGAAACTTGTAGGGCGACGAGGCCAGCAGCAGGATCTCCTTGGCCTCGCTCCTCCGCCGCCGCTCCCGCGAGTGCACGACCCAGAGCAGCACCGCCAGCAGCACGGCGACGGCAGCGGCGAGCAGGCCCCGGAACACCTGGCCGCTGTACCGGCTGAGGCCCGGGCAGTGGTCGTCGCCGATGGTCCGGAACGTCTCCCTCACGAACGTGCAGTCCGCCAGCGCCACCAGGGCGGGGCCGTAGTGGTACAGCCCGTAGCTGACGTCGGCCGCGCCGGCGAGCTGCGCGTACATGGACGGCGTGACGCGCCCCGGAGTCGTGCACACATCGGCCCCCGACGCGGCATCCGCGTAGACGCCGCGGCACACGTAGCGCCGCCACGCCTGGCGCGCGGCGGCGGCGTCGAGGGGCAGCTCGCCCGGCGCGCAGGCGCGGTCGCGGAGGTCGGCCGTGTAGGGGTTGCAGAGGAGCGGCACCGGCGGGCCCGACTGGTTGTAGTTGTGCGGCGGCGGCACCTGCGGCGGGAAGTCGCGGTTGGAGACGTTGGTGAGCGCGGCGTTGAGCACGGCCACCAGCTGGTAGTTCACCTCCTTGCCCCGGTCCAGCGCCTCGTTCGCCGCGGCCGTGTCGACGCACGGCAGGATGTCGTCCAGCGCCGTGCGCGCCTGCGGGTGCTGCACCCACTCGCCCATCGCCACGCACGTGTCACCCACCACGCTGCACGCATGTATGGCACACGCTGTAGTGTGAGCGTGTGGCTACCAGACTGGAGTACTCGTGACAGTACTGACTTGGAAGCAACGACAAAGGCACTTACTTGTGCAGGAGGAGAAAAGTACCACACAGTACAAACGTCCCTGCAACCAGGATCCACCCCAGGAACACCAACCTGCACGCAAGTACATGAACTAACTGTCATCAGATTTTGAAGCTGCATCTTCATCAAATGAATGTGTTTGATGCTTACACGTAGACAATCGACTCCAATCCACACAGCGAGAACACTGCATCACAGCAAAAATGCAGAGCCAATGTAAGCAAAACGAGAGAGATATCAGAAACGGTGATATCAATTTCTCCAAAATTGGCCGTGAAATTCATGCTTACATACAGACATGAACTCAATTATGAAGAGACGCATAAACAGTGGTAGTAGGAAGTAATGGTGCTCACCGAGGCCAAGAAAAGCAAGGATTAGCATCGCCGCCGAAACAACTATCAGAATCTTCCTTCTGCATTGCATTATATTGGAGCAGTAACAAAATGATCAGGAGTGGAGTAGTGCACGGTGAGGAACCAAAACGAACAAGGTGCTTAGGTGATCGGTGGCGTACACGGTCTCCAGGGCGGCGCGGATCTTGGCGGCGTTGCTGGCCGTGCGGGCGGCGAGCTCGTCGGAGGCCGCGCCCACCTTGCGCACGACGTCGTCGATCCTCCCCTTGACGTCGTCGGGCAGCGTGATGGGCCCCACGCCGGCGGCCTTGGCGGTCTCCAGGAAGCCCGTGAAGCCCCGCAGGGTGGCCACCGTGTCCCCCGACTGCCGCACCACGTAGTCCACCGTCGCCGCCGTGCTGCCGTGGAACCGGCCCTGCCCGTCGTACAGCACGGCGCACCCGAAGCTGCGACGACGATAGAGGATACACGCACCGGCCGGTTAATTACTGATCGACGCGGCGAGGTATGAATCGGATGGCGACGTGATCGGAGAATTAAAGTTATTACGCTGCCGCGGCCGTGACGACGACGAGGAGCACGAGCGAGACGAACAGGCACGCGCGCGAGTAGGAGTCCCCGCCGCCGCCGCCGCCGGACGGGCAGCAGCAGAAGCAACAGCCGGCGATGAACAGGCCAATGCCGAACACGACGAACCAGACTCCCGCCGCCGCGAATACGGGCGCCGCGGTGAAGCCAACGGACTGAGGATCGATGATCGCGTCGCCGGAACCAACAGCAAAATCGAGGATCAAGACAACGGATAACCAAGAACCGATCGAGGGTCGAGGCAAGAATACGATTAGACGACCGATCAAGATGGGATCTGGAAGGAGAAGGAAGAACTCACGGCCCAGTAGTGCTCGTCGCTGATGTTCCATCCGCCGGTGTAGTACCTCAGCCCGTCGAGCGGGTCCTTCCGCTGCGTCTGCTCCGCCGCGAGCAGGAACGACGACGAGTTCGCCCCGGGTCCGGCCGCCGCCGCCGCCGCCACTGAAGAAGACGATCCCAACATCTCAACCAAAGTTATACACGCATGCATTCCGAATTCCGGGGGAAGAACCTCACCTGACGCATCGGCCGCGAACAAGGACGCGGAGACGAGGAAGATCACGACGAGGAGAGTCGCGCGGCGCGCCGCCACGGCTACGGCCATGGCCATGGGAGGATGTATGTTTTCGCTCGAGTCCGTTCGCTGTCGCAAGCGAGTCAACACGGCGTCAGTCGTCGGGGTTCAAAGACGGCGGGACTGGGGAGGATCGGAGGAGAACGCGGAGCCGTGGGCCACGAAAGGGGAAGGGAAAGGGAAACCCTGATGAGTGATGAGTACTTGAAAATTGGTTGGTGGGTGGAATGTTTGCTTAATTGCTTGCAGATTTGGGAACAAGGGCCTGCAGGAGATGGATGGAGAAGACGATATAAGCTTGCGTTACTACTCGCCAAGAAACGGCGACCATGCATGACTCATGAACAAACCTTGTTTTAAAAAAAATGGATTTTGCTAAATGCAGTCCACCAAGTCAGATGCGAATTTAGGCTCTGTTCGTTATCCAAAAAAAAAAAGAATGTTTTTCTCTTACAACAAATCGTCCATTCAAATCAGAGTCCCTGCCGAATAGAGCCGGGTTTTGGTGGAATAATTGAATCGCAAACGAGTTGAGTGGTTGGTGGAGCATGTTTTTGGTGGAATAATTGTTGCGCGCTCCGGGATTCATGACGCGGTTCGCGGCGGCCGGCGGGGTTTTCCAATGCATGCACATTCTGGGGTTGACGTTTGCGTCCAAGGATCGTGTGCCGTGCCATGTGAAGGATTACCAGGACGTGCTTATTAATGCCAACTTTATTTTGCAAAAAAAAGTGTATTGTTTTTTCTGCTTTATGGTAGTGCTAGTATAATATACTATTTTCACAGTGATCTAAATATAATCTTGATTCTATATTAGAAAAATAAGGAAGATTTGGATCTAATTTTTATATTGATTTCTATCTTTGCATAGTGAGAATCTTAAAATGGCAATGTTAGGATAGCTATTGTATCCGGATCTTATTATCATTTTTCACTTTTCTATCTAGTTTTCATTTTCCTTAAGCCTTTAAAACGGGTCAAGTTTGGAGGTCTCCAAATTAAAGTTGGTTGCTAGTTCCCGGATGTCCAGATGCCCGCGCCAGCAGCCGTTTCCCGCGCCCACATGGGGCTCGCGCCGCCCCGAATATCACCAGTATCGAGAAAGAGGAGGAGGGGTTGCGCGCGGATGCCCAGCCGGCGCCAGGGGGAGGAGGTGACACTAAGGTGAGGCAACAGAAAGCGATGAGAGAGATACAACACTCGGATCTAATTTTAAAACATCCAGATACAACAATTGCAACATACGTCTAAAGGCAGATGAAACACTTGCAAAAACACTTGAAAACATACACTACATCCAAATAAAACACTTGCAACATATACGTGAAACATAGCAACATCTGAATAAACACACTGGTAACATACGTTTGGAAAAACATGAAATATTAGGAACATAAGCTTGCAACATAGTGTACAACTATTGCAATATGTTCAACTCTACTTTGCAACATCCGCATGAAACACTTGAAACATACTTCTAAAACATCTGAAACATACACTTGCAGCGCCATATTTCCTTCTTGTTTCGAAATGGAGGCCGGTGGCGCGTGGAGTTTATCGGTGCAGAGCTCACCACTCCAGTGGAGAAAGCTGCGGCAGGTCCGGTGGAGAAGGTCACGGTGGGTCCACACGCTCTAGAAGCCCCGATGAATTACAAGCTCCATGCGATAGCCACCCTCGCCTCCCTGCCTTGTGGCGGTGCGGGTCTCCGTCACCATGCTCGTCTCCCACGCGCCGCTCGCATGCGGGCCTCCGGAGCCACCGTTTCCTCCCGCACACGTGGGACTCAAAGCTGTCGTCACCTTGCTTGCTCGCCAACAGCCGGCAGCCGAACACGGGAAGCGTAGTGGTCATCGGAGATGTAGGCCGCAAGAGCGCAGAATGGCCGCCAAGCCAGCAGCCGGACGCTGGAAGCGCAGTGGTTGCCTGAGGGCAGCCGCCAGATCCCTACCGTCATGGCGCTAGGGAATGGAGATGCGCTGCCGTGCGCGAGGTGGATGTCGTTGCCTTTGCGGCTGCATCACTGACCCCACGCCACCGCCACCAAATCTCTGATTCGCCACAGCAGTAGCTCCCGTGAATCTCGCCCACCTCCTGGCTCGATGAATAATGGATGAAGCTAGCTCGCTCGAATGGATAAGGCTACACCGGCCACCGCTTCAGCCTGGTTTTTTTAGTGGCGGTCGTTGGACTGGCGCGGGTGGCCCACCATCGAGAGCGTCCGGCGCAGACGGACGCCCTATAGCAAGAATTACTGAGTTAAAGTCCAATAGTGAATGCTCCTTATATTTGATCATTAAAGTCTTGTGTTGGTTAGCTGGCGAGGCATAAAATGACTTCTATAGTACTCCTACATGGTGTCTTCCATATCTTGCGTTGAGCTTTTCGCATTGTGTGGAATATCTACTCCTGCATGACTTATGCCCCGTTTTGATGTAGATATTCGAGCCTAGACATTGGAATTGGAAACAGATTTCCTCCATGTTGTTGTTTGGATGCACATGGAATTGAGATTTGGCATTAGAAACCCAATTCCTTGGTATTGAACTATAACTGGAAGGGGTCTATCCAATACAGAGCCGCACCCTTTAGTATTGGGTGGAATTGGGGCCTCTTCTCCGTGACTAACCGCGCGAGCACCAGCGCCCTCTTCACCGCGTCCGCCGGTCAAGCTCGCCACCCCGGATGCCTCCCTCTCCTTCTTCCCCAGGTCCGACCTCCTCGCCTTTTTCCCCAGGTCCAGCCTCCCTCGCCTTCTTCCCCAGGTCCGGCCTCCCTCACCTTCTTCCTCAGGTCCGACCTCCCTCGCCTTCTTCCCCAGGTCCGGCATGCGTGGGGGAGGGCTCGATCCGTGCAGATTAGAGCTTGGTCGCGTGGGCATGGCAGAGGGGAGCAGAGGCCAGAGGGGGGCTCGGTCTGCGGGGCGCGTGGGACGCGGAAGGGGGCTCGGTCAGCCGACTTGGTCTCGTGGCGGGCTCGGTCGCTCAGCCATGGTGGATTGGGATGGGGAGGTGACGGCGGGGCAAGGTCGTGCGAGGCGGGCGCACGCAAGGCGCAAGGCGTGGCGCACCCTCCCTTTCTTCCTCATGGTCAATTCCATATAGCAATTTCCTTGACATCCAAACATGATTTGGTATTTGCCATGTGACCAGATTCCATATAGCAATTTCTTCTGCATCCAAACATGTGATTTGGTATTGTTGCCTATTTCCAAAGCCAGTCTGATTTGGCATTGGTAACCAATTCAATTCTAGCCATCCAATATCTACATCCAAACACATCCTTAATCTTTCTGTTGCAATATAATGGACGTAGGGAAAGAAAATCTGCTCTTTAATTCACTTCTAAGTTGATGTCCCGCGATTTGGCTGTGATGAAGGAGTAATGAAATGAGCTCTAGTTAAAAAAAAGTTATAGTTCGAGAGGTTTGCTGCCCGCGGGAGCATTTTGGGCCGAGCAACATCTCCAATAGTTTTTAAAAAATTGGTAAAGCAATGAGTTTTCTAAATAGCTAAAAAATATTAGTATCACATTTGTTGCGTTCCTCCAATAATTTCAAAAATCAATATGTTTACATAGAAAGCCCGGACTATTTTTCAAATCACATGTAATTTTTTATACATTTTTTCTCTTATACATTTGCATTGAAAAACTGTCTTTAGTCTTATTCTTCCCCACGTACTTTCACCTCTAGATTGTCCTATTGATGCATAGGTATATTTCCACGCAATTGGTTCAATATTTACTCTCCAACGAAAGATTGAGAGTTGATATAGAGTCGTTTGAGAGCGTTTTTTTACAATCTTAACAAAAAGTCAAGATTGGGAGGAGTGGGTTTTGGAAAATCTTGGAGATGCTATAACACCTAATTCTCATAAGTTTCCAATCCATCCACCCTTAAAAACCTTTTATTAGCTTCATTCTCCTGATGCCAATCCATCTCCGCCCATGCAAGCTGCCAACAGCCGTCGGAGTCAATACACCAGTAAAAGGCCATCCATGAACCTTAAAGCCCAACCCTAAGACCAGTCTTATTGGGAGGTTTATGTGACTTTTATTTTCATTAAATAGGTTGCCACATAATCATTTTTGATGATATGACAGTGTATTTAAGAAAAAGAAAGAAGAAATAAGTCTTGACACGATTACCAACTCTTTATGAGTTATGAAATTAAATGGCTATGGAACTGTAGAATGAAACTTTGTATTGAGAGTGAGTGTTTCATCCAATTTTCATTTCATTCTATATGACATGACAGTCTTAAAAACAACATCGTGAAACTATCCACCGAAGAAATGATGACCTGAAGGGAGCGGGAGCTAGGGAAAATTAATTCAAGTTTCACGTCTTTTCGAAGCCAGGTCTTTTAGAGCAAGGTCAATAATAGAGCCAAGTTGCTTGGCTATAACTCAAGTTACAAGAGCCAAGTTATACAATAAGTGTCTCCTATTTGTCTTAAAAAAAGTCTCTCTCTTCTATTCCTCCTCACAACACTTGCTACTTGGGCCCACTAATGTATATGCTTCCGTTCTTCAGCTCGGTGCTTGCATGGTAGCCAAGTTCCCATCTCTCTCCTCTCTCCCCTCCTCCACATCAACATTAGATTGGCTATAAGCCCATTATTGTACCTGCTCTTATAGCATGTACGTGACACGTGAGGAACAAATTAAAGCGGCGTTATATATTAGTACTCCACCATTCCAAAATATAAGATGTTTTAGCTTTTGCAGATTTATTGCTTTTATTATGCATCTAGACATAATACCCCCTCCGTCTCAGGATATAAGGCATGCACGTATTTCAAAATTTAAACTTTGTTATCTTTGATCTATAATTAGTCTAATAATATGAGACATTTATAGTACAATAGTTGTAAAATTAGATATGTCTTTACAAATAATTTCCAATGATACTTTTGTTGTTGCCATAAATTACATATAATTAGTATAAATTAACGGTTATAGTATGATTTTGAAGAGACCGCACCAAGTCAAATTGCGCCTTATATCTTGATGAGACGGAGGGAGTATATATC